CCGCCCTCCCCAAGTGCAAAAATTTTTGTACACTGGGTCTCTAGTATATATATAAAAGCCTAAGCAACCATTCGACCATTAGATTGTTCAACTGGTAGCTATGATGTGCACTGACCATCAGGGGGCAGACACTAAATGCACAGGCATGGAAATATGGAACAGACTGATGAATCTCAGAGGGAAGGGGGGGATAGGGTCGGGTCAGAAGAGATTAACCAAAGATCTTATATGCATACTAGAGGCCCAGTGCATGGATTCATATACCGGTTGGGTCCCTCGGCTTGGCCTGTGGGGATCAGGCCGATTCCATGCCCTGGTCCTCTGACATCCCCTGACGGGTACCAAATTGAGAGAGGGCGCAGGCTAGGCCGTGGGACCCCACTGGTGCACGGATTACACCAGGCCTCTAGTATCTCTCTCTATATAATAGGTAACATCAGCCTAATATGTTAATTGTCCCTCTGACCATTCAACCAGTCGCTATGACGTGCACTGACCACCAGGGTGCAGATGCTCTTACCGGTAGTTTAGCTTGCTTCTGGGGCCTGGCTGATCAGGACTGGGCTTGATGGGCCAGACACGCCCTGGAGCCCTCCCGAGGTCCCTCGCCAGCCAGCCAACCTCCTGCAGTCTCTCCCCAACCTGCAGGCCCCGATCAGGACTGGGCAAGATGGGTTGGACATGCCTTGGAGCCCTCTCGCAGTTCCTCCTGGCCCCGATTGTGCACTGCTTGGGTCCCTCAGCCTGGCCTGTGCCCTCTCGAAATTCAGGACCCCTCGGGGGATGTTAGAGCTGGTATCTGCCCGATCCCCACAGGCCAGGCCGAGGGACCCGACTGGTGCACAAATCTGTGTACCAGGCCTCTAGTAAATATATAATTTAAAAATTGTAGGAATTAATCTTAGTAACTATGTTTATGTTATTTGTAGAAATGTTGCTCTTAGTTAACTAAATATTTAATGTCTTGATTTGTACCTAATTGTTAAAATTATTAATTTTTTGGTATTTTTATTGTAAACAATATTACAGATGGCTTCCCTTTTTTCCTCTTTTTGCCCACCTTAACCCACCCCCAAATTATTAATTAAAAAGTGTATATAAATATGTGTAATTGAATTATGTGTGCTAAACAAAGTGAACTGTCAATGTGCAAAAACACTCTTGACTGTAATTTTTCGTTGTGGTGGGGAGTTATAGTAGGAGAGACTGTGGACAGACTACCTCAATCCATCTCCTGGCTTTACTTTCTTTTTGTATGAGTACCTTGTGCTTTAGTTCTATCTGTAAAATGGGCGATTGCAATAGTACTTTTCTTGTTGATTACTGTATGCATTCATTTAAAAGGCTTATAATAGTGCTTGCTTGGAAAATAGTGCTTCACGAATAGTAATTATTTTTTTTAACTAGTGGTACTAGTATGATAGTAATTAAGATGTGCTTGTTCTCTCAATTCACAAGGCTACTGATCTAGATTATTAGTTATTTAAAATTTTGCTTTGTAGCATAGTATTTTAGAATAATACTAACAAATCTAAGAATTCTTTATTTCAGAATAATATGATTCTTCTATAACGTATCGAATGGGCAATCTGTTTGTGCTGGTGTGAGTGTGTATATTTAGGTCGACATAGGTGCCAATACTTCTAAATTTTAAAAATGATTCTTCTATAACTTATTGAATGGGCAACCTGTTTGTGCTGGTGTGACTGTGTATATTTATGTTGACATAGGTGCCATTTGAGATTTTTCTTTTAGATTTTTGCGTGCAATCTTGTGCCTGGAGTATAACAATTTAACATGTTTTAGAGAGAGTTATAACATAATAGCAGGATGCAATGACAATTTTTTAAAACTGAGATAGAATTCACATAACACAAATTAATTATTTTCAAGTATAGAATATAGTAGGTTTTTATTGTTAACTTTATTATTTATTGTAGACAGAATGACAGATGTCCCCCATTCTCCCTCCCCTTTATTATTGTCTGTTTCCATGGCATATGCATATATGCACATATGTTCTTTGATTAATCTCTTCCTGTATCCCCCAACCTTTTTCCTTCTAAGATCTCTCAGCTTGCTTCTTGTATCCACTCCTCTGGACCCATTTTGTTAGTTTATTTTGTTAATTAGATTCCACATATAAGTGAGATGATTTGATATTTGCCTTTGGCTTATTTCACTTCCATAATCATCTCCAGGTCCATCCATGCTGCCGCAAAGCGTAAGATATCCTTGTTTTTTACTGCTGCATAATATTTCACTGTCTAAATGTACCACAGCTTTTTTATCCACTCAGCTACTGATGGACACTTTGTTTCCAGATCTTAGGTATTGTAAATTAAATTGCTATGAACATACGGGTGCATATATTCTTTCTGATTGGTGTTTAGGAATTCTTAGGACATATTCCCGGAAGTGGGATCCCTGGGTCAAACTGCAGTTCCATTTATAATTTTTTGAGGAAACTCCATACTGTTTTCCATAATGGCTGCACCAATTGTATTTACATCAGCAGTGTACTACGGTTCCCTTTTCTCCATATCCTCCCCAACACTTGTTGTTTGTTGATTTATTGATGGTAGCCATTCTGACAGGTGTGAAGTAATTCCTCATAAATAGTTTTAATATGCATCTATCTGTTGATTAGTGACATTGAGCATTTTTTTCATACGTTCATTGGCCATCTGTATGTCCTTTTTGGATCAGTGTCTATTCAGGTCCTTTGCCCATTCTTAAAATTGTATTGTTTGTCTTCTTGGTGTTGAGGTGTATGAGTTTTTTTATATATTTTAGAAATTAATCCCTTATTAGATGTATCATTGGCAAATATGTTTTCCTATGCAGTGGCTTCCCTTTTCATTTTATTGATGCTTTCTTTTGCTGTGCAGAAGCTTTTTAGCTTGATGTAGTCCCATTTGTTTCTTTTTTTATTTTTTATTGTTTAAAGTATTACAAATAGTAGTATATATCTCTCCTTTTTTCCACATTGACTTCCCCCCAGCCTCCCCCACACCTTGGCACATGCCCTCACCTCCCTAGAGTCTTCATCTGGTGGTTATGCCTATGTGCATGCATACAAGTCCTTTGGTTGATCTCTTCCCCCGCCTGCCTTCCCGCTGAAGTTTGACAGTCTGTTTGATGCTTCTTTGTCTCTGTATCTATTTTTGTTCATCAGTTTATGATGTTCATTATATTCCACAAAGGAGTGAGATCATGTACCACAATTTTTTAATTTACTCATCTGCTGATGGGCACTTAGGCTGTTTCCAAATCTTAGCTATGGTAAATTGTGCCGCTATGAACATAGGGGTGCATATATCCTTTCTGATTGGTGTTTCTAGTTTCTTGGGATATATTCCTAGAAGTGGGATCAATGGCAGTGTGTCAAATGGGAGTTCCATTTTTAGTTTTTTGAGGAAACTCCATACTGTTTTCCACAGTGGCTGCACCAGTCTGCATTCCCACCAGCAGTGCATTAGGGTTCCCTTTTCTCTGCATCCTTGCCAGCACTTGTCGTTTGTTGATTTGTTGATGATAGCCATTCTGACAGGTGTGAGATGGTACCTCATTGTCTTTTTGATTTGCATCTCTCAAATGATTAGTGACTTTGAGCATGTTTTCATATGTTTCTTGGCCTTCCTTATGTCTTCTTTCGAAAGTGTCTATTTAGGTCTATTGCCCATTTTTTGATTGGGTTGTTTATCTTCCTTGTGTTAAGTTGTATGAGTTCCCTGTAAATGTTGGAGATTAAACCCTTATCAGTGATAACATTGGCAAATGTGTTCTCCCATGCAGTGGGCTTTCTTATTGTTTTGTTGATGATTTGTTATGTTTTCTTGATGAATTTTATGTTTATTAATTATAAAATGTCCATCTTTGTCTTTTGTTACCTTTTTGTCTGTTATCAGTACTCCTACTCCCGCTTTTTTCTAGATACCATTTTCTTAAAGTGTCATTTTCTACCTTAGCTTTGAGCCAATGTTTGTGTTTGGAGCTGAGATGAGTCTGCTGTAGGCAGCATACAGTTGGGTCTTGTTTTTAAATCCATCCTGCTACAGTGTGCCTTTTTTGGGTGAGTTCAGTCCTTTTACATTTTGGAATATTATTGATGTATGAGAACTTTCTCTATCCATTTTATCTTTTGTTTTCTTATTTCTCTGTATCTCCATTGTTTATTTTCCCCTTGTACTATTTGTATTTTACTTTGGTTGTAGTGTACGATTTTTGACCCTCTGTTTTTCGTTTCTCTCTCTCTCTCTCTCTCTCTCTCTCTCTCTCTCTCTCCTCTCTCTCTCTCTCTCTCTCTCTTTACTTTTAAATTATTTTGTTTTGTTAATCCTCACCCAAAGATACCCTCTCTATTGATTTTTATTTTATTTTTAATTGTTTTATTGCTTAAAGTATTACGAAGAGTATTATATATGTCTCCTTCCCCCCCCCCCCTTTTTTTTTAAGAGAGAGTGCAAGAGAGGGGGAGAGACAGAGAGAGATAAACATTGATTTCTTGCCTCTCAGGCATGCCCCAACTCATGGCCAGGGATCGAGCCTGCAAGTGAGGTATGTGAACTTGACCAGAATTGAATGTGAGACCCTTCAGTCCTCAAACTGATGCTCTAACCACTGGGAAAAACTAGCTATGGCCATTTTTCTTTTTTTATAGTTACATGTCTCAATTCTTGATTTTTGTTATGTTGTTACCATTAGGTTTATATAAAATCCTTTTATATATACAGTAGTCTTCTTTTCTTCTAATTCCATCTCATCTCCATTTGCCTATGAAAGTTCAGTCTTTTTCATCCTCCACTTTTATGGTTTTGTTCTCACAAATTATCCCATTTATGTTGTGTGTTCATTTGAGTCTTTTCAAAAGAGTATTTTACCCCATTTTAACTTTTATGTTATATTTAAGTGTTTAATACCCTATTCTGAAATAGAGTTGCCATTTTTTTCTTCTGTCTGTCTATATGTCAACTTATAGTTTTGTATTGTCTTTTTGCTTCCAGTAAAACTGGTCCTTTCAATATTTCTTATAATACACATCTTGTGGTGGTAAATTCCCTTAGCTTTTGTCTGGAGAAATCTTTTGAAAAAATACATTTTTATTGATTACAGAGAAAAGGGGAGAGGGAGAGAGAGATAGAAACATCGATGAGAGAGAATTATTGACTGGCTGCCTCCTGCATGCCCCACACCGGGGATTGAGCCCTGATCAGAATTGAGCCATGACCTCCTGGTTCATAGATTGACGCGCAACCATTGAGCCATGCCGATCAGGCTGGAGACATATTTATTTCTCCTTCATATCTAAAGGAAAACTTTCCTAGATACATTATTTTTTTGCTGTTGATTTCTCTCCTTTAGTATTTCAATATTTGGTTTCAGAGTCTCCTATCTTGTAAGGTTTCTTCTGAGAATTCCGATGATAATCTAATGGAATTTTTTTTAATATGTGGCAGTCTTTTCCCCCTGCTAATCTTGGGAGATTTTTCATAGTCATTAACTTTGGACAGTTTTAATACATGGAATGCATTGTTTCTTGGAGAAAGTGGGTTTTTTTGTTTGCTTGTTTTTGTACTGAGATAATTAGGTGTTGTGTTAATCCCTTGGATTTGAGGTTTTAGCTTTGTATAAGTTTGAGAAGTCTCCATCAATTATTTATTTGAATAGGTTCTCTGTTCCCTTCTTTTTCTCTTCTCTTTCTGCTATATCCATTATTTTTATAATCCTATTTCTACTAGAGTCATATAGTTTTCTTAGAGTTGATTTATTTTTTGTTAACTCTTAATTCTCTTCTTCCACCTGAGTCATTTTTAGATGTCTAACTTTAAGATCACTCATTCTTTCTTCCATATGGTTTGAGCTCTCTAATTCATTCTTCATCTCATTTATTGATTTCTTCAGTTCCAGAATTTCTATTTGATTCCTTTTCATAGTCTCAATCTCTAAAGAATGCCTTTTGTTCATCAATTTTATTCCTGTGCTCATTGAACTGCATTTCTGTTTTCCTATATCTCATTCAGTTTATTCAGAACCACAATCTTGAATTTTCTGTCACTTAAATCAGTCTTCCATGTCTTTTAGTTTGTTTTCTGGAGACTTTTAATTAATTTCTGAACTACCTTGTGAACTTGGTTATTCATAATATTTGATGGGGTTTTTTCACTGTCTTGTTATTTGATATTTTAAAATCTTTTTAGATACTTTTTAAAAAACAATTTAGCAGATTCATAAGTAGAAGTCTTTCTCTTGTTTATTAGTCGATGCTTTTATAGTGCAAATTTTTATTTCATTTGCACTAGTGGGACTTGTGGATCTCAGTAGGGCAGTGTCTCCTTAGGAATGGAAAATGCTGTAATGTTGAGCATCTTTTCATGTGCTTTTATCATCTCTGAGTTAGATGAGATATATTTATGTCCCTTGGGTATCTCTGTTCTGAAAGGTGCAAGGAAGTTCCACTTTTTTGTTTCCTTTCTGCAGAATTATCTGGGAGTTGGGCAGTTTCCTTCTGACCTTGTTGAGCTGATCAGGGAAGAGGGGGTAGGGCAAGTGTGAGTAGAAATGCTATGAAATTTCCTACCATTTTAAGTGTGACTCTTGGTTAGGTGTTTGTTTGCTGTAGTTTTTTAACTGGTTTCTGAGTTCTCACAAAGTTAATTTTTAACACATGTTGTTGCTTATTCTTTGTTTGTGTGGGAGAACAACAGCCTGGAGTTTCTTAGTCCACCATCTTGCTGAGGTCACCTGGTATTTCATTACTTTTAGTGGGTGAATAATATGCCATTGTATTAATACCACATTTTGTTTCTCCATTCATCTGTAGGTAGATGCTTGGGTTGTTCCCATTTTTTTTGCCATTATGAATAATCCATGCTATGAACATTTGTGTAAATTTTTGCATAGTCATATGTTTTCATATACATTCATAGGAATATACCTATGAGTGGAATTATTTGGTGATATGGTAACACTGTGCCTAATTTCTAAGTAATTGCCGAACTGTTTACCATAATGGCTTACCATTTTACATTCACTCAGTGCATCAGGGTTCCAATTTCTCCACATCCTCACCAGCATTTGTCATTTTTGTTAATTTGCTTAGAGCCAACCTACTGGTGTGTGGTGGCAACTCATGATTTTCATTTGCTTTTCCCAAATGACTAATGTTGTTGAGTAATTTTTCATGTGCTTACTGGTGATTTGCATATCCTATTTGAACAAACATTTATAAAAATTCTTCTCCAAATTTTTAATTTAACCGTCTGACGCTCCATCCACTGAGCCAAACCGGTTTCGGCTTAACCGTCTTTTTATATAGTCTGGATATAAGACCCATACCCAGATTTACGATTTGCCAATATTTTCTCCCATTCTGTGGATTATCTTTTTACTTTCTTAAGAGTATCCACTTATGCACAAAAAATTTAAATTTTTTATGAAGTCCAGTTTACCAGTTTTTTTGGTTGCTTGTGCTTTTGATGACACATCTAAGAATCCATTGCCTAATTAAAGGTCACAAAGATTTATGGTGGTGGTTTATTTTTTTCGTATGGTGGTATTTTCTTTCACAAGGTTTGTAGTTTAAGTTCTTACATCTAGAACTGTGATCCTTTATAATATTTTTGAAATTTTATATAAGTGATCTAGTTTTGTATGTTTAGATGGTTCTCAAATTTTCTATTATAGATACTGTTGTAAAAATATTTGTTTATTCACCCAGATAGATATTTAGAAATATTTTTATTTAACACTTGTGATAACACACATACACACAGGCACACATTTACACACACATATTTTTGTATGTATTCACACATTGGTCTGATTATTTCCTTGGAAGATATTCCTAAAAGTGACATTGTTGGGTCAAAGTTGTACAATTTTAAGACATCATACATATTTTAAACTTCTTATAGAAGCCAAATTTCTACTCCCAGCAGAATGTATAAGTAGCCATTTCCTCAATCTTCAAGAATTAAAACAATTAACAGTTTTTTAGCTGTAATGTATATTTTGGGGGACTTGGATTCACTTTTGAGTTAATTTTTGTAAATGGTACAAAATTGGGGTCCACCTTTATTCTTTTGCTCATAGACATAGCGTTGTCTCGGCACAGTTTGTTGCAATCTTTCCCTATTGAATTGTCTTCATTCCATTGTGGAAAATCTTTTGATTATAAATGTAAAGTTTTGTTTCTCGATATTCATTTCTCTTCCATTAATCTGTATGTCTATCCTTGATGTTAGGAACATATTATTTAGATTACTCTAACTTTGTGTACCAACTTCTAAGCTGAGAGAACTTTTCTCATCAAAAGTTGTTCCTTTTTTAAAAATTAAATGAGCTGATAAAAATTAGCATCCAACTTTCATAATCAGCTTTTTTTTTTTTAGAGATGATGATTGTTTTTATGTGTATATTGGCCCTTCACCCATCTTATTACTTATATGCTAAATCTGTTCTCTGAATAACTTAAAATATTGGTCTTTGGATAGAATTGAGAGTCATTCTTCTTGAACCTAGTGTAGTTATTTTGCTTTTTGTTTCTCTATCATTTTCCAGAATGTACACAAAGGTGAAGCAGTTCTAAAATAGTAGTTAATTCACTTAAGGAAATTCATCATGCAGTATTTTTTTTTAAATATATTTTATTGATTTTTCACAGAGAGGAAGGGAGAGGGATAGAGAGTTAGAAACATCGATGAGAGAGAAACATGGATCAGCTGCCTCCTGCACGCCCCCCACTGGGGATGTGCCCTCAACCAAGGCACATGCCCCTGACTGGAATCGAACCTGGGACCCTTGAGTCCGCAGGCCGACGCTCCATCCACTGGGCCAAACCAGTTCTGGCATCATGCAGTATTTTTATTTTGCATTTTAAATGTTCTTTAGGTCTGCAAAGAAAGCAGAGTTGGAAGAAAATCAGCGGAGTTATAAACAAAAAAAGAAAAGGCGACGCATTAAGGTTCAAGAAGATTCATCCAGTGAAAACAAGGTAATAATGATATTTACTATGTGCTTTAATTGTAACTGGTACACTAGACCATGAAAGTATGTTATTACCTCTTCAGCATTTCATGCATTTGTCAAATTCTATTGGTTAATTTCTTTTTTATACTTTTTGTGGAAGGATTGACTTATTGAATGTATAAATAAGCAGAGATATTAATTTTGACATATTTTTTGTTTCTTAACTAAATATAATTGAAATTTTAAGCTGTTCTAATTCATTATTTTACATTCCAAGGGCTGTAGAATTGATACAGTGTTGTATTTTCTGAAGATATATTTTATTCTGCATAATGATTCATGTAAATTATTTCTTCTAGCAATGAAGTTTGCCAACATGAATTTCTTGTATATAAACAGAATTATGTAAAGTACAATTCTCTGTAATATGTTTTATTAGGTCAACACTGTTCTCTTTTGGGAGGGTTCATTGTTTTAAATGAACCTTTTAGACCATTTCTAAGTATACAACTCAGGGGCCTTAATTAAATTCAGAATTGGAAAACTCACTACCCATTAAGCAGTAACTCTTCTTTCCTGACTAACCCCAGCCCCTCATAACCTCTATTTTAATTTCTGTGTCTATGAATTTGCCTATTTTTGGGTACTTCATTTAAGTGTAGTCATAATATTTCTCGTTTTGTGTCTGCCTTGTAGTCATTGACATAATGTTTTTAAGGTTCGTCCATGTTGTAGCATGTCACATAATTTCCTTTCTTTTTAAGGTTGGATAATATTCCATTGTATGTATATAACACAATGTGTTTATTCATTTTATCTGATGATGGACATTTGGGTTGTCTCCATCTCTGTCCTTTGTGAATAATGCGGCTATTAACGTAGGTGTGCAAATATCTGTTTGAATCCATGATTTTGATTCTTTTGATTATAATCTGAGAAGTGGACTGCCCGGATCATGTGTTAATTCTGTGTTTATCTTATTGAGGAACTGTCACACTGTTTTTCTAATGCACCAGGCTTTCAATTTTTCTACATCTTCACAATTGTTTCTTTTGTCTTTTTTTTTTAATTTTAAAAAGTTATCCTAATAGAATTTCATTTGTGGTTTTGATTTAAGTTTCCCTAATGACAAATAATGTTGACTATCCATGTGCTTACCGAACATTTCTATATCTTCCTGAGAGAAAAGTCTATGCCAGTTCCTTGCCCCCTTTTTGGGGTTGTTTGTGTTTTAATACTCTTCTTTATTGCAAAGTATACTTCTGAGGGTTTTCAGTCTGTTTTCTTCTACCTTTTCTTGCTATATTATTTATTTTCATATGAAATGGATAAGTTTGCTACTTTGTTTATTACCTCTGATCATTTAATTTCCATAGAGTAATTCTGAAGAAGATAAAGAAGATGATGAAGAGGAAGAAGAAGAAGATGAAAATGATGATTCCAAGTCACCTGGAAAAGGCAGAAAGAAAATTAGAAAAATTCTTAAAGATGATAAACTACGAACAGAAACACAAAATGCTCTTAAAGAAGAGGAAGAAAGGCGGAAACGTATTGCTGAGAGGGAGCGGGAACGAGAGAAATTGAGAGAGGTAAATCAATTTTTATTTGTGATTTCTTTTTAACATATGACTTATATAGATTCATAGATATATTTCAGTATTACAAGAATAGAATGTTGTAATCAACCACAGATTTTTAGTGATAGTTGGTTTTATTCTACTGGCCACTTAAAAATCTTTAAGGCTTTATTAATATAATTAGGTACATGGAAAGAGTTAAGATAATTATATGATGACCAACATGATTGTGTTTTATCTGGGGTAGAAAAATGATTAAATAAACTTTTTATTGTAAATACTCGAGGCCCGATGCATGAAATTCGTGCATGGTAGGGGGGCGTCTCTCAGCCCGGCCTGCACCGTCTCTAATCTGGGACCCCTTGGAGAATGTCCGACTGCTGGTTTAAGCCCAATCCCACAATCTGGGATTGCTGGCTCCTAACCACTCACCTGCACGCCTGCCTGATTGCCTCTAACCACTCTGCCTGCTGGCCTGCTTGCCCTCAACTGCTCTTCTTGACCCCAACTGCTCCCCTTGCAGTCTGATTGGGTAGGGGTCCCCTTGGGGGGTGGGGCTGGCCTGACGAGGGTCCTGGGGAAGTTTGCAGGCTGGCAATGCCCCCATCGGGATGAGGGTCCCCACTGGGGGGCATGGCCAGCCTGGGCGAGGGGCTGAGGGCCATTTGGGGGCTGTTTGCAGGCTGGCCAAGCCCCTGGCTTTGTCCGGAAGGAAGTCTGGAAGGTCTCACGATATAATTAGCATATTATTCTTTTATTAGTATAGATTTCAAGCAGATGTATAAATGGAGGGACTAGCTTTATAAATTTCTTTGTACCCATTACCTAGTTTCAAGTTACCAATATTGTTTCATCTATTCTTTCACTATTTCATCTATTCAGATTATTTTGTTGAAATCTCAGAAATCATATTCGGTCTGTATGTAATTCAGAATATATTGTGGAAAGATAAAGACCTTTTAAACATTAGTACAGTATTATTATTACACTAAACCATTAACATTAATTCTATAATATCAAATATCTAGTTATTTAAAATTTATTCATTTTCCTCAAAAACATAGTAATGGTTTGTAAATATAGTTGATGTGTACCAGAATCCCAAGATGGTCTCACTCGCGACATGTTATGTTGCATTTGGATTGTGTACTTTAACCTGAAGTTTCTTTATGGTGCATTTGTTTAAGAAACCAGATTATTTGTATGGTGTTTCCTATATTCTGAGTTTTGCTGGTCACATCCCTGTTTTGTATATTCATTGGCTACTGTATGTCCTATTCAGTATTGGAAATAGATGCCTGACCAGATATAAAGTCAGTTCTTTTTTTGATAGAATTACTCATAGGTGGTAATATATATTTTTTCTTGGATTTCATTTAGAGGTACTTTAAATCTAGTCACTTTTTGTGATACTAATTTTATTTAAAATTTTTAAACAACAATTTGGTAAATAGACATTAAAATCCTATATTATAATTTTCTAATTTTGATTCTTATCAGTATACATGTGTGTGTTTCACATAACCACACCACTGTATGTGCATATGCTGTATTTTTCTCTCCCTTTAAAAATATTTTTCCTTTTTATTGGATTTATAGGGGTGACACTGGTTAATAACTTTATACAGATTTCAGGTATACAATTCTACAATATATCTACTGTATTGTGTATTCACCACTCCATTTCCTCTCCCTTTATTTCAGGCAATTTAAATGTATATTATCATATTCCATTTATTTTTAATTGGTTTATTATTTTTATTTTCTAATTAAATTTTTATATTGAATATAAAGGGGTGGGCAAAACTATGTTTATAGTTGTAATTTAAGTAAATAATACAATAAATAATAACACAAGAATACACTGTGTTTCATGTACTCACAACTGTAAACCTGCTTTTGCTAATCCCTGTATATGTATTGTTAAAAATCATATATTATTGCCAGCTGGCGTGGCTCAGTGGTTGAGCGTCGACTTATGAACCAGTAGGTCAACATCAATTCCTGGTCAGGGCACATGCCTGGGTTGTGGTCTGGATCCCCAGTGTGGGGCGTGCAGGAGGCAGCTGATCAATGCTTCTCTCTCATCATTGATGTTTCTATCTTGCTCTCCCTCTCCCTTCCTCTGTGCAATCAATACAAATATAGTTTTAAAAAATCATATATTACTATAAGCCTACATTGGAATCTACACTCATAAAAGTCAAAGATGCTAATTGACCATACCTTCATTACGCCTACCAGCCAATCAGAGCGACTATATGCAAATTTACCCAACCAAGATGGTGGTTAATTTGCATATGCCAGCTGGGAGCAAAGACTGAAGACAATGTGGAAGCGAAGTGCTACAGAAGGGAGGAAAGTAGAGGCGGCAGAGACAGGAATGGGGTGGAGGGAGGAGGTGGGAGGGAAACCAGCCGGGTGGCAGAGTGGGAGGGAAAAAAACCAGCCGGGCAGTGGAGCTGGAGGGAAATACCCAGCCGCGCAGCGGAGTGGGAGGGAGAGAAAAACCCAGCTGCGTGGCAGAGCTGGAGTGAAGCCCGCCTCGGCGGGTTTCGCTCACTTCTCTGCTTCGTTCCAACAGCAGGAAGCCTTATTCTTGCAGGAATCTTCCTGCAATGGGCCTCTAGTAAAAAATAATTTTCTATCGTACCTGGATTCTCCACTCACAAGAAACAACTCTCAATTCTCTTAGTTGTTCTTTGCTTTTACCTATATGTTTCTGCTTATTATGCTTATGCTATTTCTTAATTTCTCATTGTATTATTAGGAAGTTGTAGATTTCGCTCTCATGTACTACCTACCAAATCTAGAGTTTTCTTTTCATTTTATCAGTATTGTTATATCACAGTTCTGATTAAATCATAAGTCAGTGTTCACATGATTATAACCATGTAAATATTCACAGCAGGGCTATGTAGTGTATATTTCATGTGTGTCTCATATGCACATATGCAAGTGTACATACACATAGTACAAAATGATTAGGTTCTTTTTGTTTATACTTTTTGTTTACATTTCTTAGAGTTAATGTTTTGGGGTCTTTTTCTATATACTTAGGATGAATTCATTTTCCATCTTTCTAGTAAAACTCTATATGTGAAAACCCTAGAGACTCCATCAAAAAGCTACTAGACTTAATACATGAATTTGGTGATGTAGCAGGATACAAAATTAACCCCAAGAAATCTGAGGCATTTCTATACACCAATAGTGAACTTTCAGAAAGAGAGATTATAAAAACAATCCCGTTTACCATCGC